AAAAAAAAAAAAAAAAAAGAATTAAAATATGCTATCGTTTGTGTCAAATAGAAAAGTGTATGTATGATATGTATAGAGTCTCTGTAGGGATGTACATGAAATTATTAATAGTGCTTTCCAGCCAGCCATGGCTCGCACTTGTAATCTCAACATTTTTGGAGGTGGGGACGGGAGGATCGCTTGAGCCTAGGAGTTCAAAGCTAGCCTGGGCAACATAGCAAGACCCCATCTCAAAAAAAAATACTGCTTTCTGCTAGAGAGGGGAACTGTGAGACACAGTGGGAGAAAACCTACTTTTCACAGTATCTGTTGTGAATTTTATATCTTATTCATGTGTTACCTAGCCAAAGATTAATAAATAGGTTGTGTGTTGTTTCTTTTTAAGTTTGAGGATACCTGAAATGCTTAATATAAATAAATATCTACATTGTCCAGAAATTTCAACATTTACTCTATTTTGGAATTTCAAAGTGGGAGAGGAATCGTCTTTTTGGTTAGTACCTGAAACTCAAAAGTTTGCACCTAAAAGCGTGCTTTCTTTCTCCTCAGTTACCTCAGGCATCTTTTATAGTTGCAGTCTCTTTGTTGTCAGATGGTGGATTTTTCCTCCCCAAAATTCAAATGCATTTTCTTCATTATAAAAATGCTAAACATTCATTGTTTTTTTAAAAAGACATAGGAGAAAAATGACCAGATTCCTACCACCTGAAGATAAATCCTGTCATCATCAGTTTCTTAACTGCTCTTCTCTCACAGTTTTATGTAAATGGGATCATAAACAGGATCCTTTATTTTTTTCAAGCAACAGTGTATTATGCCTATACTCCATGTTTATATGTGTGTATTAAAAACGTGTGTGTATGTGTATATATAAGTGTGTGTGTGCGTGTGTGTGTGTGTATACACACACACACACATATATATACATCTATGATGATTTATCTCCCGCTTTGAAGGAGAAAGAAAGCACGCCTTTATCTAAGCATAAACTTTGGGTTTCAGTTACTATCCAGAAAGATGATTTATCTCCTACTTTGAAATGCCAAAATATATACATATATATATATATATATATATATATATATATAAAGTATGTATTTTTTAAAATTGTATATAAAAATTGTATATTATATTAAAATTATATATATGCAGTTTTTAAAAATGTTAGTTAGGATCTTGCCCTGTTGCCTAAGCTGGAGTGCAATAGTGTGAGCATGGTTCACACAGCCTCCAACTTCGAGGCTCAAACTATCCTTCTGCCCAGCCTCCTGAGTAGCTAGGACTACAGGCATGTGCCATCACCTCCAGCTAATTTAAAAAATTTTTTGTAGTCATAGAATCTCACTGTGTTGCCCAGGATGGTCTGGAATTCCTGGCCGCAAGTGATGTTCCCACCTCCCACCTCGGCTTCCCAAAGTGCTAGGATTACAGGCGTGAGCCACTGTGCCTAGCCTGCATATATCTACTTTTTTTTTTTTTTTTTTTTTTTTTTT